GGACCGCCACCCGGGGCAGACTTCGACACGTTTCATATCGCCCCGTGCCGCTCGTTGCTAGAACGTTGGCCAACGGCAGGAATCCCGACTAAGATTGGTCTTTTCTCTGCAATGACCGAAGTGTATCTAGCGATGCGATTTCGTTCGTTTTGTAAATAGACGGCGTTGCCATAGACCAATGCGATATCATCTGCACGATGCCCTCTTTCTTCCAGTTTCAGTGCCACTTTGACATCGATGTACTCGAAAATTGTACATTGACAAAACTGGAGGATCAAATTTTCATCGGAGACATTCGAGTGAAAAAAAGTAGAGGAAGTACTTTGCGATAAGTAACAGCAAACTTGCACAAACTTCTACGAAAGATCATTTAAATCCTTGGAAATGCAGTGTCTCGTGCAGTTTCGTGCATCTACGAAGTTTCTACTAAAAATTGAAAATTGATCGTTTTGACCATTTTTGTAGTTCTAGTGATTAACCGCTTGCGCTGACAACTGATTGCGGACCATAACGAGTGACCAGAACCAACAATGCAATAACTCGTCGGTACGATATCACTGGGTAGAAATTATTGAAAAGCAATAAATTTATTATCTGTTTTGCCCGGGTTATATACTTAAATATACTTAAAACTGAGAAAATATTGCAATTTTGGGACAAAAAATTCTCAACGTGTGTGGCACGTCATTCCAACGCAAGAAGAAATTAAGATTGAGTTCCAGGAGTTATTGAAAAACCGCCAAACGGCACGACATTGGTCTACAAATATTTTTAACTCTTGCTGAGGAAAAATAATTGAAAATAATCGACGCACTATATTTTTAACTCTTACTGAGCAAAAATAATCGATGTACTATGTTATTAACTCTTATTGAGCAAAAATAATCAATGTACTCAAAAACTGTACATTAAAAATTGAGTTCTAGGGTTTATTAAAAAAACGCCAAGCATCGACATTAGTCTACAAATATTTTCAACTCTTGCTGAGGAAAAATAATTGAAAATAATCGATGCACTATATTATTAACTCTTACTGAACAAAAATAATCGATGTACTCAAAAACTGTACATTAAAAATTGAGTTCCAGAGTTTATTAAAAAAACGCCAAGCACCGACATTGGTCTACAAATATTTTCAACTCTTGCTGAGGAAAAATAATTAAAAATAATCGACGCACTATATTTTTAACTCTTACTGAGCAAAAATAATCAATGTACTCAAAAACTGTACATTAAAAATTGAGTTCTAGAGTTTATTAAAAAAACGCCAAGCACCGACATTGGTCTACAAATATTTTCAACTCTTGCTGAGGAAAAATAATTAAAAACATTCGACGCACTATATTTTTAATTCTTACTAAGCAAAAATAATTGAAAATAATCAATATACTCAAGAATTGACTAGCTACTACATTAGTCTGTAGATCATCTTTCAACTTTGATCGAATGAATATAATTGAAAATAACGGCACGTATAGGAGCGAAGTGACTAAGAACTAATGAGTTTGACGCGACGAGCAAGTATCGGTGAGATTAGGCGCGCTGACTTTACCAGAAACTTAGGCTGCATGCAGCTCGCGTATAGCTTGGCCTTTCTCACGCGAAATTTGAATAGCGCGAGATCGCGCTGCGTGGGACTCGGGGAACGATCAATCTCTTTATTTAAATAATAATAATTCATATCCGCGCGTTACAATGGAAGAGCGGAGTTGATACAGCCTTGGACGAATAGACGCGCGTTGCGTATCTCGTTCTTGCTTTCCTTTTGCGTTGCCAAGCGATCGAAGACGCTTCTCCCGAGTTATGTACAAAGACAGAGAGAGACAGCAAGAATAGAAAGAACAATTGTTATCTTACAACTTCATGTGCAACATTCGCGATGAAATTTTTCGTTTCACGTCCAACAAAAGGATTTTTTCGTTTTAACTTCAATGTTCAATGTTAATTTTTTCTTTATGAATGTAACGATCTATGTATAAGGTAACTATGTTTTCTTTTTTTTTTTTTTTTTTTCTAATAAATTAGTATCTTAATTTAACACGTTTAACGCTAGAACTACCCACGAAGAAATTAAAGTGCAAGGTGCAAGAAAAAGTTGATAATGCGATAAAGAACGCAAGAACGCGTTCTGTTAATTTTGTTAAAAATCACTCGAGTATCTCTAAAGATACACTGTTATAAATATATATATAAAATTTCCATGGAAAATTGTATATCGATCGTCGCTTTGACATCGCTTTGGTAGCTTCGGTGTTGAACCGTTGAAATTCATCGTGCGATCTTGATACCCGATTGTTCGAAGCCTGTTTCAGAAAAAGAGAATCGTTTTCTCGTTAACGATTGGGAGAATCAAAAAGAACCATTTTTGTCCTTGAAGAGGAAGAAAAAGAAAAGGAAAAAAAAAAAAAAAGAAAACGCTGTGCAAGCTCGTAAGAAATTATCTGATGAATGCACGGCGAAGAAATGTTCAAACGATGGCAGCGTCAGAATCGGTTTGCTAAGTTTCACATGCTGATGAGGATGTCAGATCGCTCTCACAACTGTTCTCCCGTCGAAAACGATAAGAAGTTTCTTTCGATACGCGGAGTCGTGAAGTTGCTCGAAAGACAAAGGGCAGAAGGTAATCGAGCAAAATGAACGATCATACCATCTGATAAAGCTTTCGTTTTTCTCGTACGAAATTTACCTTTTCGTATAAAAAAAAGTACAGTCACTTTTATATATTTTAATATACATTTTAGTATATTTTATATATTTTTTACTTTTATATATTTTAATATATTTTATATATTATAATTTTACATATTTTATATATTATAATTTTATATATTTTGTATACTATAATTTTATATATTTTGTATATTATAATTTTACATATTTTATATATTATAATTTTATATATTTTGTATACTATAATTTTATATATTTTGTATATTATAATTTTACATATTTTGTATATTATATATATTTTATGTATATTTATATATATTAATTTTATATTCTTTTGTATATTATATATATTTTATGTATATTTATATATATTAATTTTATATACTTTATATATTATAATTTGATATATTTTATCATATTTTAATATACATTCCTTCAGAAAAAGGGGACTCACTGAATTTCTTGAACTTGGAAAATTTTGTTTTTCGTTCGAACTTCGCGGAATTCCTAGTGAAATCATTTTCTTTTACATAAATGTTACGTTACGTACACATAAAAATCATTACGCCAGGAATTCCACGAAGTACGAAAAGAATTTTTTTTTCCAAGTTCAAGAAACTCAACGAATCCTCATCATCTGTGATTTAACTCGACCTTTCCCCAGTTGACGCAGATGCGCAACAGTTTGCAGTTCAATTGCGAAACAAGTCGTTCGTTAAAATCGCTCGTGAAACAGAGACGACACGCGAGAACGAACATAAATCTTCAGGCAAAGTGTTACAGATCGTGGCGTCAATGACACGAGAGAAGAGAGAGAAGGAGTTTTTAACGATTACTCATCAACTTGGTTACGAAATCGCTCTGACCGAAATGCCAACGCGAAACGGTTCGTTACACTACTGCTCGCTATAATAGAATCGTCAAAATTTCTGCCAGGACGACACGTCGACGATGCCAACCAGCCGCCATTTTGATTCCTTTGCCGCGTGCAACGATGAAATTCTTGCGCCTTTCTTCTATTCTACTATACACTATCCTATCCGAGTCATTCTTACTATGAAAACTTCTCTCTCTCTCTCTCTCTCTCTCTCTCTCTCTCTCTCTCTCTCTCTCTTTCTCGATACTTCTCCATCGAGAAGCTGGCTCTTAACTCCGGTTCTCATCTTGCCTCTAGGCGATCCGGGATGGACCTTGCGCCAGCGATCAAGCATAGTCGCGCCAATGACAATGCAAATTGTCGATAATTTAAAGTAATATAACTTGGTAGGAAAAAAAAAAAAAAATACGATCTCGATCACTTGGTCTCGTTTTCAACCGTGGATCTTCGACGTTAGATTGGATTATGTACCAAGTGGAAAAGCAAGGGATTTTTACTTTGTAAAAATTTCAACGCCTCTCGAGAACATCCTACATGTGGTCTTGAAGATTGGAATTTTCTCTTTGTAAAAAGGTTCCTTCATTTGATCGAACTCGAAATATCAGAATTCATTCAATTCTCTTCGCTTAGACCTGGTATTCAAAGTTCGTAAAATAGTAAAAAGATTTTCAAAACGATGACAGATCTATTTATAAAAATATTCTTTTTAATGTAGTCAATGAATTTTTACAATTCTCGAAAAGAAAGTGTCCTACGTGATGGGAAAATTATCTTCGAAGGAACAAAAAAGAACAAACTCACGACTGTTCAGAGCGGAAGCTTCACGTTTTAATACTTGAGACTGAATCGTCATGTGATCTTACAAAGTTACATCCACAATTAATTAATTAAATTTTTGCTTGTCACACTTGAGCTCTTAGTTAAATACTGGAAATTTTTTTCTAAAGCCATTCGTCGGATCGCCGTTTGATTCAGACACACTTAATAATTGACGACCAATGTGACGATCATTCTACATTTCAGATTAAATGTAGGACTATGTACAACTAAATTAAATGAGAGGAGCTCACGAATTTCGTATAAGACTAAAAAGATCTATAGCGAGAAACTACTCCTAGCGAAATGTTAGGATCTGACATTCAAAGTTCAACGAGATAGCCAAAAAGAAAAAAAGTCACACAGCAAGTTGACCGCTCTTCTAAAATAAGAAACAAATTCACGGCTGTCGAAATAGAGATTTCACTCCGAGTGAATGAAATTATCGATAATTTTTCATAGTGTTTCGCTAGACATTGTCCAGACAACAGGGAAAAAACTCGTGGAACGTGGATAGCGTTCGATTCCACCGAAAATCGAGAAACGATCGCGATCGTATAGGTCTAGATAATAGCCTTTCACGCTAGTCTAACATGCCTCTAAAAAAAGATTTTTATGAGGTCTGATAATAACTTACCGCGATGACGTGTTCCCCTTTGCCGGCCTTAGCAATCAGGTCCCAGTCGATGGTATCCACGTAGCAAAGCGCTGGATTCTTCTCGAAACGAACGGAGCCCCTCACGATAGTGGTCAGACTATGCAACCCAATCTCCTGCAGGTTCATCATCTCGAACGCGACCAGGGCGTAGTTGATGAACAGAGAATGGCCCCGAATCACGCTCAGATTGGGGAACAGGCGACCGATGCTTCGCAGCCCTTTCACCCTATAATTTATGGATAAAACAGAGATGAACGCAGAACGAGTAGAAAGAAAGCGCAGGTAAAAAAAGATGAAGGAACACGTAATGAAATACGAAATACCGATGATCGTGAATAAGATGGGAAGTATAATATCGAGGAAGTATGAGTACTGATAGATGTTTGTCCGAATATTTCTACTGATTTTTGTACACTTCGATATTTTTCATATGATGTTTCATATATATTTTATATATAAAATTATATTTTACACATGAAATGTATATAAAGTTATATTTTACATTTGAAATATATATGAAACTATATTTTGCATGTGAAATATATATAAAACTATATTTTACATATGAAATATATATAAAACTATATTTTATACATGAAATATATATAAAATTATATTTTTTATATGAAATATATATAAAGTCATAGTTTACATATGAAATATACATAAAGTTATATTTTACGTATGAAATATATGTAAAACTATATTTCACGTATGAAATATATATAAAGTTATATTTTATATATGAAATATATATAAAACTATATTTTATATATGAAATATATATAAAGTTATATTTTACATATGAAATGTATCTAAAGTTATACTTTACATATGAAATATTTATAAAGTTATATTTTATATATGAAATATATATAAAATTATATTTTCATATAATAGTTCATATATCCATTCGACACTTTTTATATAATCGGAGTATCTTGACTCAGAATAGTATCGATACTTTGTGGAAAAATTGTTAATTATTGCACATTTTAACTGATCAGAGAAATATGAAATTTTTTAGATGTTTGTAGATAATATCAGTGCTCCAAGTGTATTTCTTCCTCTTTCTATTTTTCTATTTATTTTATTGAAAAATATAGAAAACTGTACGAGAGTATCTCAGTCGAAGAAATATCGATAATTTATGTAAGAAAGTATTAATTAATTGCCACGCGTTGGAATCAATTAGAGGGAAATATTTTCTAAATATTTGTAGATAATATCGAAACTCAGTTACTTTTCTATTTATTTTTGTGAAAAATGTGAGAGCATCTTTACCGAGGTAATATCGATACGAGGGGAGGGAGGGAAACACGACGAAGAGGAAGGAAGAAATTAAAGAAACAGGCGAGATAATGACGATGTACAACCGACAGGAAGTTTAGTGACCCTCGATAATGGAAGGAATCGATTCCGCGAGGCAGTCAAACCGCATTGCTTCCTTACTTTGGAACGACGTTTCCGTTGTCTTTGCCAGTTTTTCCCCCGTTTTCCTGTTTCCCGTGTTTCCCCCTCCCCTCTCGCTCCCAATGATCGATCGTTCGGCGATCGGGCACAGTTTATCAAGAGCTTCTTGTTCTTTATGAGTGGAAGGGATCGAGCCAAAGAGCGCGACGTTCGGAAAGATAAATCCGCCATCCATGTTCGGGCACCGGAAATGGATCCCCCACCCCCTCCCTGTTTCTATCTCAAACGATAGATTCGGCGGATCACTTCGGAATTGATTTCACGTTAATTGAAACTTGCGAAATAAAAATGTCGGAGTGGCGCGCTCTTCCCTTTTGCTTTTCTTACGACGCTTTCTTCCTTCCTGACTCGTCGCCTGTTGTGTCCTCGAGTTTGCCGAATTATTTCGCGTCAAATGATAATAATGTATGACGTACTTATCGTGTATATGATATGTGTACAATGTATATAATATATATATATATATTTATTATTATACTAAATAATTTAGTTATAATACATACTGTAATATAATTATTATATATTATAGTATAGTATAATTATATTATGTTATAATACATACTATAATTATTATATATTACAGTATAGTATAATTATAGTATAATATTATAGTATAATTATATTATGTTAATACATAGTATAATATAATTATATACTAATAGTATAATATATACTATTATATACTATAATTATTATATTATATACTAATAGTATAATATAATTATTATATAATTTATTTATATAATATAATATAATAATATATTATATAATAATTATATTATAGTATATATTGTAATATAATATAATATATAAATATATAACTATATACTAAATATTATTTAGTATATTATATTATATTATAATATATACTATAATTGTTATATAATTTATTTATATAATATAATAATATATTATAGTATAATAAATATATTATAATATAAATATATAATATATTATTGTAATATAATATAATATATAAATATATAACTACATATTAACTATTATTTAGTATATTATGTTATATTATATTATAATATATACTATAATATAATATAATTATTATAATTTATAATACAGAAATATTATATAATGTGTACAATGTCATGTGTATAATGATACGTGTAATGTACATATGACTGAATAGTTGACGTCAAACGATAAAATACCTCAAAGATATGGAAATCAAACGCGAACAACCATTACACGTTCTTTCTTTTTCTTTTTCTGTATTTTTCCTCTCTCTCCTCCGAGATGTTACATTTATTTGAATTGGATGTCAGTTTACCTATAGAGCAGCAGGTATCCGGTGATCTCTTTCAGCTCCGGGAAAGAGATATTGGCATACTCGGCCGGCTCGGCGTTGTCGATCAGCAAAATTTGTACAAAGCCCTCGACTAGTCGACATCCGCTCAGTCTTGAGAAATAACGCACGCTGTTTCTTATGTCTATGCTTTGGCACACTGCAACAGAAAGAAAAAAAAAAAAGAAAGTGACGTATGTACGTGACGCGGTCAGACATCGCCGTCATCGGCAGAAAGATAGAGAGAGATGAATGATGCCGATAGGATCGAACGATGCGAGCATTATTGAAGTTTCGTTGCATCGTGATTGCGGATTTTACCTTGTGATCGGCGGCTATATTCATCGCTTCTTGGAATCGCCAGCGCGGCGAGCGTATACATATCTAGCCTTGTATTATCGATTCGCAAGGATGCTTTTAGAAATTTCTTTCGAATTTCAAATGAAAGCTTGAATTCGAAGATGCAGCGTCTACGGTGTCTACAGGTGGCAACAACTATCTGAATATTTGTGCATCGTTGATTTTCGTAATTTTATTTTTGCGAACAGATCTACTTGCACAAATAGTTCACTACATACGTACAATAGTAATGTGCGCTCTAGAAAAAATCGAGAGTCAGTATAAAAGAAATTAAATGTAAATTAAATATTAAATATTAAATAAAAAATTAATATAAAAGTAATTAACATAAAAATTCGACAATCAGATATTGACACACGAGGGATTTTTTTTATAATTCCTATGATGTGTTCAAACAGAATATAAATTACTTTTAATGATTTATGATAATGAATTATGTAAAAATAGTACAAATAAAATTCTAGAATCAAAAAGATATCGATACGTGAGAGCTCTGTAGTATGAAGTAATAGTTTGAAGTAAGGGTCGAAATTAGCTAGTTTTCTTCATTTTCAAAAATGATTCTGTTCAAACTTCCATATTTTGTGTAGAAGAAAGTATGTGTTTTTTCGTGGAATTTTCATAGAAAAAAGTACTACACTTAAAAACACTTTTGAATAGTGTTCTCACGGAACAGACGTTTTCAAATCAGTACAATAAAAGTTCCATGGAAACGAGCTACATTCGAACATTTAATTAAAATTCCATTTTTATATTCGAATAGCGTTTAGTGTCGCCATTTGCTACTTTGACACTTATTGAGAACTTTTTTCATATTGGCGAGCAAATTATTTGCGCCTTCCGACGGAGAAAAATTTTAATTTTCATATTTCACGAGTTCCATCCTGTCTGAAACTTTTGTTTTTAAGAACATTTATTTATCTGTCCTCATCGGGACCTATAACGCAAGAGCATTTTTCGTAAAAGTTCTACTCTTTCAAATAGAACCTACTTAAAAGTTTCGTAACTTTTACGATCCCAGGGTTTAAGGCAAGCGTTCTTTTCAAATGTTGGCGCGATATTGATGATGACAATCCAGTACTTAAAAAGAGATATTTTCCCATTTTTCTAATAACATTCCACCATTAAATACAGATTAAATACTGTTCAGTGTTTAAAGTTTCTCGATATCATTTTGACTCTCGAATTTTTATTGTTGAGTTGTGTTATTATCGTACAACTCATTATTCGAAATTGTTATTGTGTTATTACTGCGTATATAGCTATGTTTTTCTATAATTCTTTTTATTACATACGTTCAACATTTGAAAGAAATAATTTTTAAAACGTAAAAATATGAAAAATTCACGTTTGAATTTAAGTTTAATTTAAAGTCAATGAAATTAATTTTTTCTTATATTTTGAGGTTTCATTTAAGAGGAGAAACTTTTGGCCCACCCTATATCTATCTATCTATCTATTTAAACTTAAATTTAGTTTGACATTAATGAAATTAGTTTTTTCTCATATTTTGATGTTTCGTTAAAAAAAATAAGTGGGGAGAAACTTTTGGCCCACTCTATATCTATCTATCTAAATTTAATTAAAAATTAATGAAATTAATTTTTTCTTATATCTTGATGTTTTATTTAAAATAAAAAAAATTGGTGGAAAGAAATTTTTTGCCCCATCTATCTATCTATCTATCTATGTATCTGTTTAAACTTAAATTTAATTTGAAATTAGTGAAATTAGTTTTTTTTTCATATTTTGATGTTTTGTTAAAGAGGAACTTTCAGCCCACTCTATATCTATCTATCTATTTATTTAAACTCAAATTTAATTTGAAATTAGTGAAATTAGTTTTCATATTTCGATGTTTTTGTTGAAGAAAATATGTGGGGAGGAACTCTACATCTATCTATCAGAACTTAATTTAAAATTAATGAAATTAATTTTTTCTTATCTCTTGATATTTTATTTCAAAAAAAGAAAAAAAAAAAAAAACAGATGGAAAGAAACCTTTTGGCCCACCCTGTGTTACAAAAGAACGAGACACGACAGAATCAAAGTAAGAACGTCGACTTTCCGCGGATCGCAACATTTTGATCGTAGAGTTTGATCTAACTTCTAGAACCGACGGTTAAAATGCAAAGGCGTATTGCGTTCCGTCGCCTCGTCCCCTCGAGGCCAAGGTAAGAGGAACACAAAGAGGCAGCAATCGAGAAAGGGGTGACGAGGAACACCGACGGCCATGAGCCGTGACAATCACGCCGATTATGATGCATTAAAGCTCGACTCGAGCAGGGAAAACGAAACTCGTCTCGCAAGGTCGGTACAACCTGACTAGATCGGTGATATCCGTTGCCTCCTCTTCGCCCCTTCCTCCCCCCCAGCTTCCCTCTGTCTCGTTCGCAACGATACGACAAAACCGGATCGACTCGAACGTCCAAATTATTCAAATCGCTCGGCTGGCTGTACACTCGACAGACGAAAGCGAAAGACACTTTTCAATTACCAGTTGCGATCCGCCTCGCAACGTTCGCATTGATCATTCGCCGAAACGAAATTTAATGGACGTTGTGAGACGCATTCCTTGCCGGTGACGTGTTCCAGCGTGTGCGTCACGAAAGATCGGCTGTTCACGTGCATACGCATCACTGAACGTTCGATTTTTGAATCGAATCGCGATCGGAAAGCGATCGGTTCCCGCGAGCGAAGGCAATTGCAGAAGAAGGTTGCAAAAGCACTTGATTCGAAAAGTAAAAGATAATTATATGTATGATTATAAAACAGCGTCTGCAATTATTATACATTATATTATTATTGTTTCAAAATTATATGTATATTATATTATTTTTTTTTAAATTATATATTATATTATTTATTATATTTATATTATTATTTATATTATTTATATATATTATATGTATTATATTATTATTATTTCAAAATTATATGTATATTATATTATTATTTTTTTAAAAATTATATATTATATTATTTATATATATTATATTATTATTATTTCAAAATTATATGTATATTATATTATTATTTTTTTAAAAATTATATATTATATTATTTATATTGTTATTTATATTATTTATATATATTATATTATTATTTATATGTATTACATTATTATATTATATATATTATATATATTATATTATTATTTATATTATTTATATATATTACATTATTATATTATATATATTATATTATTATTATTTATATTATTTATATATATATATTATATTATTATTATTTTAAAATTGAAGGATGTTACAGTGGTATCATGCTGTCGCGTTAAATGAATAGAGTATCTACAACTTTCGCTCAAATCGAGTCATCGTCAGTGCCAAACGTCACGATACGAAAATAGCTTATTTGTACGTGTATATTGTAAGCCCAAACCTTAACCTAAACCTAAACGCGTTGAAAACTAAGACGTATGAAAGTCTTTTTCCTGTCGAATTGCTTTTTGATCACATTCAATCTGCTGAATTAGAATAACGTAGAATTAATATACTCAGTCATAATAAATAAATGTAGAATCAGTATATATACGTATACAATACGTTATACTCTTTCACGTAGCTGGTATGCGTAAATATATTCGCCTATACCAGCACTCCGAACACGTATTTCTATTTTCAACAGCTGGAAATGTTGTTGAAAATGTTGATACTCGCTGATACTTATATAGAGGGTGTCCCGTCCCAACACAGTCTCCCAAACTATTTGAGATAAAAGTTACTTTGCCCGCCATTTTCTTAAGTGTATCGCGTCCCACGCGAACTGTTCGTTACAAGAAAAATGTTTCGAATAAAACTCACTTAGTCTCGAGTGGTAGGGGAGGGAATATCTTTCGCAAATCTTGTCTAGGCGGACGTTCTATAAAGATTCTCTCAAGGTGACTTTCGCCTTTTAAAATGAAAAATGTATACTTTTTCGAATGGACACGCCAATTATCGATCTATCGTGTATGAAACACTCGGAGACATTGAAGAGGATGCAATTATCCTCAACGCTCGAGGTCGTCGTTTCAAACATGACAGACAAAAAATAATAACTTGTCGGTACAGACAAGTAATTATTTTTGCAAGGCCTTGAACAACCTTGAAAGATCAGGATACAAAGGTCGATGGACTCGTCGCGAAACAGGTTGCGTGTCCATCTGAATAGGAAACGCGTAGTTTCGTTTGGAAAAGCGAAGGTCATCTTTTCACCGAAAGATATCCCCCTCTCGAAACAGAGTGACTTTTTTATTTTGGGACACTTTGAAATAGTTTGCGCGGGACGCGACACACGTAAAAAAAAAAAAAAAAAAGAATGGCGAAAATATAACTTTTCTCTCAATGAAAAGTTTTGTAAAAGAATTTATCATTCGTTTACGCGAATGGATCTTTTCCGTATTGGAAGATAATTGTTTACAGCAGTAGAGAATTTTTCATAAAAATTTTTCTACAGAAATGATAATTCCAAGTCCCCGATTTTTTCATAAAACTTATACGTAATATTACGAACTATAATGTGTTACTAATATCTCGAATCGAACACTACAAAATCTTATCACTTTAAACAATCTTATCATTTCATCATGGCAGAAATATAAATTACTCGAAACGTCGGACAAAATTATATCTAAAGCACTAAATTTTTCACCACTCGGATATCTCATGAGTATCCGTGTAACCCGAGTATCTCGCACACTTCGCTAAAGATACTTAATTAACTGAATTAACAAGGCAGTATTACATACGACGATGTTCGAAATGTTTACGATCCAATTAAAATTTCGTATTTCGGATTCAT